GATGGAAAATAAGTGCTGGGGCAAAATGACTGCTGGAGGGGTTGGTCATAGGAAGGGAATAATTAACGTGGACGGGTGGTATCGTCTTTCGCAAGGCGTCGCGACGCCTCTGTCGTAACAAAGGAACGACGACGTCGTAGTCAAGGTCTTCCCTCTCCCCTGCTACCTCTATAGCCGATCTCTGCGTGAGTTTTTCGCGAATGACACACGAGGACGAAGGGACGTTGAAAACGCTTCGGGGATTTCGTAACATTTTTAATATGAGACAGGCTGCCGAGTCGCATTTCGTACCAGGCCATTTTGTATATTGGGTGTTGAATTTTTGAGAATGAATAAAAGGGGATTGGGGGCGGTGTAGAGGGGGGGGGGGAAGAAAGAAAAAAATAAAATCTGCACTTAATCGCCTTAAGAAGAATTTATATGCATTTTCGACGGTATCGTGAATTTTCGGAAATTTGAAAAAAATGCCCATTTTTCAAATAGGGTTTTACAGATTTTTTTTTCTTTTTCTCGTTCTCTGTCCTTTTTTTGTCTCTCTCTCTCTCTCTCTCTCTCTCTCTCTCTCTCTCTCTCCTTATTTGTTAAAATAAAAAGGACGTGTAAAATTTCAATGCGCGTCGAGATACGAAAGTCTTGTTCGAGTGATGACGATTTTTTATTCTTTTTTTTTTGTTTTTTTTTTTCAGGCAAAAAACGGCGGCATGGCCATGGTGCCCTTTTACACTTACTTCATAACCTGCAATAACACTGCCACCATAAGGGACGTGATCGGTATGTAAAAATAATAACGTAACGCCGTAACGTGGCGTTAAAATTTATTTAACATATTTTTTTGCATTGTACGCTGTACAGCAATTCATTTTTGTTAGGAGGCATGAATTTTTATATTGCACTTTCATTCTTTTTCTTATTTTTTTTTGTTTTTTTTTTCTTTCTTTTTCAGCTCACATTAATCACATACGAAAGGTCGCCGGGGTCGATCACGTTGGCATTGGAGCCGGCTTCGATGGAATCAACTTGTAACTATTGATTACTGAGGACCTTTTTCTCTCTCTCTCTTTCTCTCTCTCTCTCTCTCTCTGCCTCTCTCTCTCTCTCTCTCTCTCTCTCTCTCTCTCTCTCTCTCTCTCTCACTCTCTCTCTCTCCTTCTCTCACTCTATCCGTACAAGACGCCGTAACGCGAAGCTTTTCAAGCTTTCCACACTGATCGATTCTTATTTCAGCACGCCCACCGGTCTGGAGGACGTATCGCGATATCCTCAGCTGTTGGCTACCCTGCTGGAGGATCCAGCGTGGTCGGAAGAAGACATAAAGAAGTTGGCGGGTCTGAATCTGCTGAGGGTATTCGCAAAAGTTGAGCAGGTGATAAAAATGGCAGACATAAGAAAAAAAATTTATATACCAATTTAAAAAAAAAATGTAAAAAAAATTTCCTAGTTTACGGAAAATCCGCTGTCACAGTGGACCCTCTAATTCCATGAAATATTTTTGCGCTGTCTAAAATCATCGACCTATGACCTTTCCAGGTGAGGGACGAGTGGCAAAGGGCAGCCGTACTACCAGTTGAGAAAATAAGTCCGCCGGACAATTCTGCCTGCTCCTACGGCGTCTCCTGATCTTCCTTCAGGACTTTGACGCCGGGATTCCTCGACTGGGCACGTTCGCCGAAGATCCGCCACGTGGCTCGCGAGTCGTCTCTTCGCGTCTTCTGATCGACGTGACGCGTCGAGGGAACGCCGTGCCGATTCCTTATAGATAATAATGAATAATAATTAATGCTAGCACGAGTTAACGATAAATAGTGACAAAATTTAGAGGAAAGAGAACGAGGAAAAAGAATTAATAAATGGTCGTCGGGGTCATCGTACTGCGTCGTACGTTGATGCTGATGCCAATGACGACCCCCGTTATTATTATTATTATAATATAGAATTATACTTTCAGTGAATTTTTACTACTAATCGTACTGTACGCACATTATATAAATATTCGCATAATTCATACTCGCGAACGAATGAGATATATACGTGTTGCGTATATGCAAAGGAAAATAATAGACAAAGGACTCTACGTTAGAGACACGTGCGATCCTATAGCTTTCTTGTATATTTGGAAATTTCTTACTTTGCGGATGGTATGCGTGGGCACGTGACAGAACAAAAAAAAAGAATCTTAGGTACCTGCGAATTAATAACGATTTTACATTTAAATCGGGTCGACTGGTGCGTCGCGCGATTTTTTTTTTTTCAATTTTCCCGACTCGGTACGAGCATTTGCTTTTTTTTACGTCAATCGAGCAAAAAATAGTCATACACTCTTTTTACCTGCATTTTTTTTATACATCAACCTTGTTTCTCTGTATATCGACTCGTTATTTTTTCGCTCACTTATCGTTACTCTTATTAACGACTAATTGGTAGTTACCGGTAGAGCAGCAGGTTTTTTTTCTTTTATTCCTTTTTCGCGAGGCTCTTCCTTGTTATCGTCTTTTCTCACTTTCTTTTTTTATTGCAAGCCCCAACATCGTCAGGCCATTTCGTGTTACGAGTCGCGCGACAATTTCGAGGAAACGAGTGTAATTAAAAGGGAGAAAAAAATTGAAAAAAAAAAATTAAAAATTCAAGGGACAAAAAAGAAAGAAAAAAATTATAAATACCAAAAAACTGTATTTCCATTCGAGGAGTCGAGAAGCTAGATAATCATTTCTAATGAGTGCGAGTGAGTGCGTGTGACAGCGGAACGAGTATCGAGAATGTGCGTATGAGAGAGAGAGAGAGAGAAGGGATGAACGAGAAAGTATGGAAAAGGATTTAAAAAAAATATTTTCGAGCATTTCGAGGAAGGAGACTCTGACTGAAAAGCCACGAGGTTTAGACGACGAGAACCTTGCGGTAAAGAAAAAAAAAAATATCGTAGTGCCAAAAAAAAAAACATTTCTCGAAGGCTCAAATAATATTTTCGGGGGAAACGTGTTCATTTTTTAAAAAGACGATGTATGTAAGTAAATTTTTTATCGTAAGCACACACCGAGGGAACGGGTAAGAGAGACAGGGAGAGAGAGAGAATTTGTAAAGGAAACGAGAGAGATAACGTAACGACAACACACAACTGCCTAGATCTCAGATTAATTAACTATTATAAGTCCAAACGCACAAAAGACAAGTTTGGAGTAATATATATATATATGTATAAATAAATAAATATATATATATATATATCGAAAAGAGAAAAAAAGAGAGACGACCACGTCGATCATATAGAACGTATAATGGAAACGATATGAAAAAAAAGGAATTTGGAAAAATGCAAAAAAAATATGAAAAGTCTACGTATAAATTTTTGAGATGCGCGACAGATTTTTTTTTTGAAAACTCAAAAAGAAACTACGGTCAGCGAGCATCGTGCAGCAGTGGGGGGGATAATAGATGAAAAAAATTGTACAGTTATACGCATATACACACGTGTAGACAGGCAGACTGGCCGAATAGAGATAAAAAGATTTTTCGAGATAAGAATGAAGGATTTAGGTAAAAAAAAAGGGGGGGGGGAAAGAGGAAAAAACATATGAACGGAAATTCAAAATAACGTCGTTGACATAATAGAAAGTTTTAATAAATTAATTCAACACTGTGGACAAGATACACTATCGATACCTATTACCTAAGACAGCCCATCTATATATATATATATATATATACACTATTTCAAAATTATAATATATATGCACATATGTCACGTGTTTCCTATATGTATATATATATTATAAATATGAAGACGAGCCATCCCGTTTATGTATCTCTGTATATACGGACGGAGATATATCTATGTACATGGAAGACACAAGACTAACACACTTGCTATTACTTATATGAAGAAAAAAAAATATATATATATTTAGTGAGAAATTGCATGAGAGGGAGAGAGAGAGAGAGAGAGGAGAAGAGCGTGAACGTGCGAGCGTGACAAAGAAAGAGCGACTATATTGCAGAAGTAACTAGGAACGAAAATTGCAAATTTTTAAAAAAGGACAGTAGACGCACGTGCGAGATAGAGAGGGCGAGAGAATGGTGAGAAGCGTGGGAGGGAGAGAGAGAGAGAGGGCGAGAGAATGATGAGAAGCGAGAGAGAGAGAGGAAAGAGCAAAGTTGTAAAATGAAAGAGAAAAAAAGGATAACGTATAAAAGTAAACGGCCGGCCGCCTCCTTATGAAGTAAAAGAAAAGATTTGCACCAGATGCACGACTACGAGAGCGTGGAAGGGCGAGCGCTGGCATCTTATAGTTGAAAAAAGAAAAATTAAGAAAAATACAACCGGGTGGCGAATTATTTAATGACTAATTTAGTTAGTGAACCGTGGAGTAACCTAGCGGTATCGTGTGTAACTAATTTTAAAGACTTTAAGTTCGTTTGATGTTAGACGTTCGTGAGATGAGTGAACGTAAAATTCCGTACGTTCGCCATTCGCCGCTTCGCTACGCTAGGGACATTGGATAGCTAGCGTTGGTATAGTTCAATCCTAGTGACTTTTCTCCGTACGATTTCCAAGTTTCGAAAAATATGAAAGGGCTGTTGAAAAAAAAAACCAAAATCATGGAAACGCGGAGAATTTTTTTTAATATAAAAAAAAATGGCGTGATGGCGAACGAGGAATTTTAAAATCAACGAGACAAAAAAAGGCGAATAGAGAAATCGAATACGAGCGAGAATCGAGTGGAACGTGTTTTTTTTTTTTTTTTTTTTTTTTTTTTTTTTTTTTTTTTTTTTTTTTTTTTTTTTTTTTTTTTTTTTTTTTTTTCGTTGTCAAACGTAAAACGGCAAATTCATGGCGAAGCGATCGCGAGAGCCATAACGATTGTGAAATTGAGAATGAAAAATGACGGTAACGAGGATCGACGATGATGATTTTATCTATGTTAACTAGAACGACATTGCTGGAACAATGATTTGTACGCCTTCTATGAAGGACCTAGTATATTATGTTACCTAATACTCGTAAGCACATTACCTAATAAATATTATTTACAAAAATTACATCGATCGACAATTTATCAGTCGATCACGTGACCCGTGTCCAATTCCAGTCCTCAGAGTGACGTTATAACGCACCCTCGCTCCCGCAGGATACTCCCCCAGGAACCATCCATTCCACCGGGACATTGAATTTCCACAGTTGACGACCTCAGCCGACCCCAAGATCCTTGATCTGGACCCAGGGCAGATGCTGCGCGGATGGCTGGTACCACTTGCCGTTTCGTCATCCGCCATCATCTTGTACCCAGTGCCATTAGCGTTACCAAGAAATTCAACCGGAAGTCGTTCAAGGTCTGAGACGACCTCAGCCAGTCCTGGGGAGGCTAACGATAATTTCCTGTACGAATCAACGTTAAGTTGCTCACAGTTCATTTTGTCATATGTGAATTGAGTATAGATATATATATAGGTGATACAAGATAACTCTACCCCAGGGCTACAGGGTGGGCTCCCGGTAAGGATGGGTTGTACTTGGGACTAATAGGTATTCCCAGGAAGCTGTTCGGGAATCCTGGCGATTAGGGAAGTGACGTCAGAGAGTTTTGTGTATATGTATATAGGAGTGCGTGTTATATACAGGTATATAGGACTGCGCGGGGAAGTCTCTCTTGAAAATATAATGAGACGCAGAATTCCTCGTCATCGGGTATAAAGGGAGTAACGTTGGTTCTGCGAGGAGCTGATGCGCGTCTGGGCGTCGGGACGCCGGTGCCGTCCTTAATAAGCTTCTAATAGAAACTAATAGCTCGCAAAGCGGGGAGACAGCCTGGAATAGGCTCCCGAGTTTCACGTACCGCGGGGAACCCCCGGACTGTATGGTTCCTGCGCTATGTATACCCTATATACGCTAACTACGAGGAAGTAATGTTACGCAAGAGGAGAGACCCTACAAAGCTTACTCGGAAGTTTACAAATGACCGAGCTGACAGAGCTCCGTGCCATATTTCTTCGTTACCGTCCAACCGCTGGCCCTAGGAGGTGGTTGGTTGCCTTTAGGAACACAGGCTCGTTGTGCCCCTTCGAATTCTAGAAGGGTCTAGTAAGGAGGGGGGAATTGAAAAATGGTTTAAAGAATATTCAAAATTCATTGTGTAAAAAAAGGGAATATTTAAAGTGTATTTTGGAAATTTGATACGTTTCTTGGAAGAATTAAAAAAAAAATAAATAAAATAAAAAATCGAAAATAGCATTCTACAGTGTGACGCATTGATCTATGGGTACGGAATCTCGCGGAAGCGATAAAAAGTGGATATTTACGTTCGAGTGAAATGGATTCTCGCGGTGAATTCTAAAAATAAAGTTAAAAAGAAAAAATCACGTGGAACTTTTTTTAAATATATATTTTTTTTTTTCATTGTAGTCCTACGTCTCGCGCCGTGGAAATAAGATGCTGGGTAAATGGGCTTCGAACGCCGAGATCAGAGATCCGAGTAAAGAATAGAGTTGATATAACACATTGATCTGGTTTTGCGCATGCGCAATCGAGCGTACCTCCTTTTACGTTCCGTAGCGTACTCTCCGTGACCGGGATTCGAACCAACAGGTGATGCCAGAGACACTCCCTCGATCCAGCATCCTCGCGGTCCAGAGTCCCCAGAGTCCTCAACCTCAGATTTACTGGCAGAGCCTTCTATCAGTCTGAACTTCGACCCTCTTCTTGGAAGGTAGACGAAGAGAAAGGGGAGGAAAAAAAATAAAGAAGAAAACTCACTCCTACTGCTCGGACGTCTTCTCATCGAGTAAGTCCTGCCTGTATCCTTAGCTACCCTTCCTTCGAAGCTTCAACCCTTCTTCTCTGTACTTGATCCTCTGTATCCATACTCCGTTACTATTTACTACCGTATACTTCTTCGCCTTTACTTCTCTTCTTCGTCCCTCGTGGACGGGGTGCAGCAGCTACCCCAGTTACTTCGTATACTAAGTCGCGAGGATCACGTTGCCGGTGGCTCTTCTAAATCTATGTGTGCTGGCAGGGCTGGCTCAAGAGTGAACATTAAGGGTGTAGAGGGGGTGCTACTACTGTGTGTTTATAGTGTGTGCACGGTAGTACGTGTTCGTGTCCTATTGAGAAGAGACAAGGGTGGTTCGAGTGAAGTGAACATTTATGAATAAAAAAAGTTTCTTTGTATTACGTGAAAAAAATTAATATCGAAAAATAATTTTTGAAATTTAAAAAATTTTTGACTTCAAAATCGTGCGTCGATGATTTTGGAAAAATGAAAAATTTGCTTCTATCCGATCAATTTATAATTATATTCGTATCGTCTGTGTATCCTCGATACAATCTGGGATGCTGTGAAATCTTATCAAAGACATTTTATTGACTGATATAAAAATATTAACAAGAGTTATCATGAACGGTGTATACGAAGTGTTTACGTGCGATTGGTACTGCAACATTAAAAGTCGATATACCTCAATGATCCTGATGGCCGATGAAAATGGCACGAAGTGACGCCGGGTGAGATTGCTGATTAGGTAAATTCGTAATAACGCTACAGAAAAGCCAATAAGTTAGAACAAACGTACTATACGCCAGTGATAACGTACAAAGTCCTAGAACGTGGAATAAAAATATTTCAAAGCTTTACAGCCACGACAAATTATTTCCCAGGACGTTTATGGTCGTCCTGAGGAATCTGGTCCTTAATTCTACACTAGGTTAGACATAACTCCTAGCTACAAGAAGCACGAACAGGACATAGGATATATACCATAGATAAACCAGCTATCCTCTTTTCCATACATATATATTTCACAAAGCTGCCTGTCTAGACTTAAATAATGGACCGGAAGAAAAAGAGATAAAAAATCTAAATAAATGACGAGCAAAAGAAAGAAACAAAATAAAATTATACAGGTCGATACAAATTCAACCAACCTTTTTGCTCTCTCAATAACCAGATCGAATTTAAATCTTGAGGACTTTTGCGACCCATTTAAGGAGGGTGGAGCGCTACGTACTGGTCAACCGAGCTGTTACAAAAAAATAATTTATTAGGTGCACAATAAATACGTATTTGGTGTTATTTTGTTACTTAAGCAATCTACACTCATGAAATACACATCAATTATAGCTTTTTAATCGGATAGATGAATAATTAACAAAAACCGAAGCTTCTCTCTAAGGGCCGTCAACGTGAACACAACGAATATATATCTTTGTTATGTAATAAAATAAGGGTTGTATATGATTGAAATTATGTTGATTCGTAAGATTATAATAGGAAATAATATTTATTGCATGGAAAAGGTATTAAGTTAATGTTATTGGAACATTTTATTTTACCTCGAAAAAGCTCGGTAAATGTATCAACGTCTGATGATTTTTGACGTTGGTATTCCTGAATCGTCGTTCAACTGATACCGGTGGTGTTACAAAGTAAACAGCAGAGTTGTGTCCTGAGATATTCAAATATTTCGACGTCTGAGCTTATACACATATATATACATATGTGTATAGTCTAGGACGTTGCCACATTTATCAGACGCTAATTTCGACAAAAAGATTCGTTTTTCTATAATCTGTATTGTAGGTAGTTAAATAAAAAGCAATCTTTACGGAATATTTGCAAAAATTGGCGTTGTCCGTAACTTTGGTACGAGTATTACGCTAGCCCTGATCAATATTTTACGACTTTATTGAATATTTTCGAAGCTTTTTGGCAAAATCAGTTATGCATATGTTCCGTTTGATGTTTAAACTATCTTAGAGGAAAAAAATTGCTTTATTAGAGCAACAAATGTTAATAATCAAGAAAGTGTCAACTCTAGAATATCAGTTACCAAAAGCTCAAAATTATGATTATTCAATAGTCAATTATTCAATTATGATTATTCAATATTCAATTCATATATCTCGAGAACCCAACGGATAATAATTTTTTTTTTAATTTCTTAATGGGTATTTTACCTTCATAAACATTATATTTGTTAGTCAGGTTGAAATATTTGAAATGCTCTACCGCTCCACCCTCCTTAATTCGTCCTAAAGGCTGTGTAGGAAGGATCCAACCTAACCTAACCCAAGCTTCCTTAGTATAGCCATTCGGACTTTATGGTTACCTAACGGTATCTCGATGGGATCCATAAGATTTCTTATCAAGGATCATCCAGGAGGGCTATGCTTATGTAAATGTCACTTTGACAGAACTGTCGTTATGGCAACGATTTCTCTCCTTGTTTATATCTCCCTCTCCCTATCTCTCTTAACTCTCTAATAGAACTCGAAAAGTCTCATCCGAGCAGGATAATTTCATCCATTATTCCAGAATAATGGACTACCCTTATACCGTTCCGGGATCCAATTTCTCACAGCCGTAGTCAAACTGTATATAGGTAAACGCTATATATATATATATATATATATATATTGTAACGTGGCGTCCGCAGGACGCCCGTTACATAAGAAACATAGGGGCACGAAGAGCCGTGCCACCGACGAAGGTCGCCGAGAGAATGGCCACGTGGTCGGAGGATCACAGCGAGGGGAGGCCGGGAGGACAAACCGGCAGAGCCGAGCCCGAGATCGGGCGGGTTCGGGCAAGATCGGCGCCGCCCGAAAACTGTCGGGCTGTGGGCATCGAAAAGTGAAGAGCGAACCGAAGCAAGAGCACAGTCTTAAATAAAGGTCTTGCAACTCGCCCAATTTTCAGCGTTGAGAATAGTCTCGTTAAAGAAGCAGGGTGCATTTAAACTTTTGGTCCCAAGCGTCGCTATGGTCGGGTGACTCCTTGTCCATCTCACTCTATAACAGTCGGCTATGGGAGAGAGAAATAGCAACGGTCGTTTGATCGCAACGCCTCTTGTGGCCATGAAGCGAAATGAAAAATGCTTCTCTATGGAGACTACCCCCTCCATGGGAGTTGCAAGACCTGTACGTAAGACCGCGGGCGAGAGAAACCGCGCGAGTTCGGACGAACTCGGGATTCTTCGGTAGCCCTGGTTTTGAACCGGGAATCTGCAGAAAGTGCTGATAGCGTTATCGCGATTTTTGGCTTTTGACGTGAGATTGTGTGATATTTAATGGATCTTTACCACTTTACGACGGACTATAATTTTCAAACGGACTGTGACGTGGATGCAGCGGAATCGAGTGAGAGAGAGACGGGAGGAAAACAGCCAACCGTCACTAGACGAGCGACGAGTAACAATGACTCGGTACACCCGGATAATCAGTAAGTGCAGTTCAGACTACCAACCCCGGCGTTATGTAGTGCACTGGCAGGGGACGCTATGCATTCCGGGCCTAGAAGTGGGGGGCCGCGGGCCCCAGGCACGTGTCCTCGCTATCGCAGGTTCGAACCGTCCACCGTCAACAGAGACGACCGCGTTATTTGTTCGAACTGTATAGCGCCGCACTAGTATACCACCACCCGTCTGTAATCGTTTATCTAGATATAATAAATTGCCATTGTTGGAATTAAATCCCACCGTGTTATTTATTTCGGAAAGGCCGGCTGATTCCTGTATATACTCGCCGTCCCCATGCTCCCCTCTACCGCGATTGGATTAGGTGATAGCGGGAAGCGGTCGAGAGGACACCCGGTGTTGACGCGAATTAGAAATTTAAAGGATTGACTAGTCGGGCTGGTGCAAGGATGCACCTGACGTCCGAGGGATCCGCGAAACGCAGCGTTGGGGTCATCGCAGTGACGTAGGCTAGGAAATGCGTTACAATATATATATATATAGAAATTCAGCAATGCATTTGCCCTGCATATATCACTGTAATGCAGTTTGACTATGTATACTGCTAACGAACCTTTTAACACGACCATTTATCCGATTCTCATTAGAGCATTGAACATTACTATCTCTTAATGAGTAAGGCGTGTGTGTATATATATATATATATAGGTATATACGTATAGAGGAACATTACGTGATAACTAATAGCCCATTACTCGTAACTAGATGACTCTGTACATTGGCTTTACCCAGAAGCGCGTCGAACGATGCATCGGGCGCGGGAAATTCAAATGCTCGATCCAATTAAAGTCTATAAATTAAATTAGCTAATTATTGATAAGTCAAAATAGTCGTAATTACTAATCGTTACATTGAATTTTACACAATCAATAAAATTCTTTATAATGTCAAAATCAATAGATAGAAAATTCAACCGGTGGACTGTACCTAATGTTATGTGCAGGGTGTTGGATAAATTGTATATATATAGGTATACGGAGAGGTATATAGCAAAGGGTAACAATATACGCATATATATGTATATCAGATGGGGTAGTACATGAGTATGTAGTTACATAATATGTCGACGGGAACCAACCAAGCATTGTATTGGACGTCGAATTGAAATGTCACCCCATTGATAGGGGTTGGTCGAAGTTCACAGTCGCGTGAAACGAATCACGTTGAAATGATAAGAAAAATGGTTGAGGAGGTTATCGAATATTTTTTGGGGATGATAAATGATGGGGGGATGAAAAAAATTTTTTTTTTTGTAATTCGTATCTTACGTGATAGGCGGGGTTGGATAAAATGTTAAAAATAAATATTTTAGTTTTAGGGTGGAAAATGCCTAAGGGTAGTATTCATTGGCAGGGGACACAGAGGAGAGCCTGTGCTCCTGGTGCCCATTGGAACGTGCAGGTAATTAATTAATTATATTAATTAAATAATATTTTAATAAATTTATTTGTTATTACATACATCGTGGATATCGTGTATGTTCAAAATGCATTGGGGCTGTTTCTACCCCTTTGGTGGATCGTTAGGGAATTATGCAATGGGTTGTTACGTCACGGGAGTTGCATACGTGCATTGCATTCTGTATGCACGCCTGGCGATGCATATGGATAAAGCCACGTACGTTTCGCATAATAGAAAATTTCATGTGTGACAGATTGTAGTCAGATTGTGTACGGAGATGGGAGGGTGGCTGGATAAATCCTGGAGACACGAGGGGATTTATTGTTCGATGGATTTGTTTTGTAATAGGGGATATCAACGTGATGGGGGAATTTATTAAAATATTATTAAATATAATTTTGAGAAAAATTTTTTGGTTATTACAAATTTATCGATCGGTAGGGTTTATCGGGGTTGCGAAGGATTTTTATTATTTCGCTGATAGTCTGGAATTATTTGTTGTTATGTATTAAGGAATTTTTTAGTACGGATTAAAGGGAGCGATATTGGATATTTATTGATTAATTATTATTGATTAAATTTATCGAACAGGTGGTCAGAGGTAAAGTGACGACACGCTGTCTGTGGCATGCGTGCAAAGCACTTGGAATTGGACTTTTGTTAATGCTTTTGGGTGCCTGCATGGCGACTATAGGTAAGCAGGAAAAACAATTTTTGGATTTTTTTTGTGTTTTGGATTTTTGGTAAAAATAATTTTTAAGGCACTTTTTTTTGTGTAGGATATTACGCTGATCAGCTGTCCGTCGCTCAAGAGGTCAGAGGGAATCTTACTGTGAAAGTTAAGAACGAGTCACGTGGTTTTCATCTTAACAATCTCAGCTATGCTGGACCCATTGTCATGGGCGTAGGAGGTAAAGTCTTCATTGATTTTCGTATCAAGATTCTCCAAGGAGATACGTTCTACGTCCTTGGGTATTCTTCGGGAATGTTTAAAGAGGGAGTCATGTCAAGTATGAGAATTCACGGAAAGAATCGGAACGATCAGAATTCTGTCGAAGTGGCGTAATCTAGTGGGATTGTGGTTAAGTGACGGCAGAGACGGGAAATATAGAACGCGCTATCGATCATGGCAATTTTAGATAATGAAATACCATTGAAATACCGAAATCTCATTGATTTTGGATATCGAGTGGATATTAATAAAAATGGAATAAAGTGGAATTGAGTCAAAATGATTAAACGAAAAAAAAAAATTTGCCCCCAGAGAGATTTGAACTCTCGACCCCTGGTTTACAAGACCAGTGCTCTAACCCCTGAGCTATGGAGGCTTATATGACTACTACTTGTGCAGTATCGTAATTGAACGTAACGTAAAACTTATAAATTTTCTTACGACTTTGAACATATTGTTATAAACAAATTTGATTGTTACAAACAATTTTTCAGTACTATTAATTAAATAGCTAATATTCATAAGTAGAAGGTTATTGGGTACACGAAGAAAATTATAAGATGAATAATTTATTTTAAATGATTGTTTAAAAATAAAAACAATTGTTTTCAGGTTTCATCGTAGTGGCTGCCTGCGTTATGACGTTCGAGGCTCGCGACAGTGCAGCCAAGGTGGTACCAGCTCGTTTCCGGTTCAATCAAAACACACCGATAAAAACGGCAAAGAGTCAACGAAGCCGTAGATCGACTTCCTGTCAAACGTCACGTTGGGATCATCAGCTGGGTCTGTTTCGAGTGAACCGAAGTCCAAGTCCGAGTTTGCATGACTCATCGAGGAAGCAACTGACAGTGGATTTAATGAAGTTCTCGCGAAATCTTCACGACAAGAGGACGAGTCATCCGATAAAGAAGAGTCCAAGCGCGCCAAGTTTGATCGAGAAGAGGTCGCCGCGACGCCGAGCGCCGAAGTATTCAGGATGCGCTTTGCTGAACCCTAAGCTACTTCAGCGTCCTCTCTCGGTAGACCATCCTGGTTACAGTCCAAAGGTCAGCCGGGAGAGCTTAGAGAATCAGAAGATGTCGGGTAGTCAGGTATCCATGGCGATGGATCTTCATATTCCTAACAAAGGACCAGTGACCTTGAAAATAAAAGATCGTTCAGACACCGCCAGGAGACATCAGCTGCTACGGCAGACCAAGGTCGAGGACGAAGAGGTCGAGATACGTAAACGAAGTCATTCTTGTTCGCCAAAGTTACAAGGTTACACGAGGTACCCTGATGACTTCCTGTCACGAAAACGGAACTCCGTAGACCTACTCTTTCTGGAGGATCTCGAGGTCAAACGTACTCCACGTGACATCCGGAAGACCACGTCACCGAATTTTCGCAAAATGTCTTTAGACCGTGTCGGTGGTGAAAGACGTCTTGAACGTAACCTGGGCCATCGTAAGTCCAGTTTTGACTTCCGGCGCAGTCCAGATTTTCGTCGTGGTGACTACCGGAAGTACTCCATCGACAGATTCACGGCTGACTGTGCTAAATACGTCGCCGAAGAGGTCGAGGCCAGGTCCAGGGCTCACAGCGGCGAGAGTGTCAGGAAGCAACGACGTCCAAGACTTTATCACTCAAAATCAGATGATAACAGAAGACGATCTTTAGATAAGAACAGACGCGATTCTCAGGCCAGCAGATATTCCCTGAATACACAAGTGGTCCTTGGAGGCTGCGCACCTGAATACGAACTTAAGTACTTCACTGCTACCAGTCTGGATACTGAGGAGAGTCGTGCTGATAATTCGGATGATAGTCACGTGGTTGAGATTAATGAGAACACGGCAATAACGGCAGCATCCGATGGTCCAGCTGAAACTGAAGCACTGCTGGAGGAACCGGAACTAGAGAATCTTACGGAAATCGACGTGGAGAGCTCGGTTGGCGACTTGGATGACCTGAACGAAGATCAATTTAACGAATCAGGCTTGAACACTGTGAAAGCTGAGGTTTCGGAAATTTTGATAAATGATACTGAACCACGTGACACGGCTTTGGATATGGAAGACGTTTGAAAAAAAAATTTTTTTAATTCGACAAAGATAAGATACAACAGCGATGGATCCCATTTTCAAATTGTCTTTTATCTTGTTTTCTCGCTGGACGAAGAGAACAAAAATTCAAAAATTAAGATTCTACGATATCGGTATTGAGGATTGATCCGTAGTTACGGATAGAAAAAAAAAACGATATCTTTCTCAGATACGTGACTTTTTTGAAAAAAAAATATATATATATCATACACGCATAGAAATTTAAGGGCTGCACGACCTCGAGGATCGGTGGGCTCAATGAGAATAAAAACAATAAATCTAGCGTAAACAGAACTGACGAGAATGAAATTTTGCGAATTGCGTTTTGAAATGTGACAATCATTTTTCGATTGAGACGTCGAGGCTAACCGACGTGCTCTGGCGCGTGATAACGTAGAATAATATACATATGTATACAAGCGTACTTATATATATATATATATCTATACAAACTGGTATCTTCTTTTTGTGACAGCTGCTGAAAAAAAAGAGACACACAGAGACGTACACGCACACAAGGCCTTATCAGCGGCATAAAAATAGACAGCTGCGATTTCGCCACGTAAAATAAGGCCTATATCCGTGAATTCACGACACAAACAATAAGAGATGTAATTTCTTCGAGGCAGCGATAATTTTGGATGATACCGAAAAAAAAGAATGGAAAGGAAAAATAAAAAAATCGAGCTTGGTCAGCGTCTCAGATACGCAAGTCGAACCGGAAAACAGACGTAATGTTGTAAAACGATCTACTATCGTGCAAATATATTTTTGTATCCTGTATATAGTCGTCATCCCGTGTAATATGCGTATAATGATTCTAGACGGAGTTGAGAGAATTTTGAAAAATTAATTTTTATTTTATACATTATCTTCCGACCTGTGGGATAAATGTGGGTGAAAACGAAAAAAAAAAAAGAGAATTTGTAACACAATTGTCAAGGACACGCTCCTTGCGATTTTCTATTTTTAATTCCAAAGATAATAAACACAATAATCGATAACTGTGTATGTACATTTATGTAACGCGTATTCATGTGAAAACTACGTAAGCGCGATATTGTTCTTGTATTTATTGTATTCGAAATGCGCGCGTAGAGCGACACGATACTTAAGGAAAAAAAAAGAAAAGCAAAGAAAACATAATCAAACTGTGATCGAATTGTACTAAATACTGTACGAATCGTATAGAAGTAACGTGCACGTGTAATTCCGTAAGGTTTTAATTGGGGACGATAAGGAATGCGATTTGTAATTTTAAAAAAAGGTACCTAATCAATTATAAAGAAAAGTGAAATGTAATCGTTGCATGTTTATTGTTGTGAAATATTAATAAAGAGGATACGTACTCCTATAAATCCAGTTGATAACACCTATTGCAATATCACAGCTATGATAAAGTATAATAGACGTATGGTATATACACAATTCTATTGGAATCTACATTACCGACCAACGGTAAGTATATGGAGAATCTTTTAATTTGCCAATCGAAAATCTAATGACTCGTGTCACCGCATATGCAGGAATCCTTTGGCTAGTTACCTTCTGATAAGAAAGCCGGTTCTGCATTACCGACAGTGTCAAAGAGCTAGCAAGTAAAAATTGTTGAAGCAGAGACGAATAGGGAGATGCTAAACGATACAGCCAGAGGTTGAAGATCGTATAGAAAATTATCTACAGAATCGAAACAATCACTACCTGTTATCATTTCGGAATCACGACCTACCGCAACGAATTCCATCGGTACACAGCGCACTCTGTGTATTCGATTAGAATAATACAGAATTTACATAAAGTGACGTGCGGTTGTGTATTATTTATGTATATCTGAAAGGTGATCGGTTCTTATTACGTATTCGATTCGCAAGACGACAGTGATTGCGAACAAGTAAAAGAACGTGATATAAAAGACAATAATGGTAACGTAAAGAAAATAAATATTCTCGAGTAAGAAAATAAATTTTTAATTTCCATCAAATCCCACCTAACCTAACTTACCACTGTTGGAACTCATAAATTCGTGATCCAAGAAATTTATTACAGTACTCATGTACAAGGTGTCCATATTAAAATTGTATGCGATTCCTATGACTTGTCAGTGACAAATAAAAATGTCGACCAAAATATAAAAAATGATCAAACCCGCTAATTCTCCTGGCACTGAGATCTCTCATTGTCAGTCTCCTTGATCGCATCGTAGTACCGGTTGTAAAACAATGGCTAAGGCACGTTTCCACCTAACAAAGCATCGAGTTATACAGATAGCGAACTGTTCCAGATACCTGAATATTAATCGCCATTCTTCTAGGTCCCCGGCTCTATTACAAAATCCAATGTGACATTTCGTTATCGCCATACATGTTATTTTTTATCGAGCCACCAAACCCGTACAAACAGCAATTACGAAATTCAACCTAAAATTTCATACGTTATACAATTTTAATAGTATTCATAAATCATATATGTCGCCCAGCCGACCGCACTCGTTTCACTTGCAATTTTGAAAAAAAAACCAAGTATAACGGTAAAAAAAAAATTCAAAATTTTAAAAAATTTTCTATACTCTCTTACAAAATCTCTAACAACAAGCGTGTTCCATTTGTTGATAATCAGATAAAAAAAATTAGAACATCAAAAATGACAGCAAATCTGACCCAGTACCGCCCCAAAAATTAAATAGTTTAGCTAACAAGCGTTCAACATCAACGCTACAGAATGAACACTGGTAAAGACCATGTGACACGTATAAGGCCCAACAGTAACTGTTCGATCCTGGATTGGGCCCCAGGAGCCAAAGGGTCATTGCGATTGGTCGAAATGTAGTTCGACGGGGTTAAGAGGATATTACGAACCCAAGAGAAGGCAGGATGGTCCTTGACACAATTATCCGATTGTGGGTGGAGCGGAACAAGTTTTGACCCACGTCTGATTCCTACTGTTCGCGGCCACTGTGAATAGACGAACCCCGCGCATCAAAAAAAAATACTGACCCATCCTAACGTAGTGATAAAGAAATATTGTAAAATATTGAAATATTGAAAAATATATATATATATTTTTTTTCGGAAAATTAATCCTCATTCATACTCTATAATTTCGAAATCCAGTAACTTTACGTCTAACCAGTCAAACACGTGGTCCACGTGTCTCATACGTGATGGACAATAGAATCGCCACGCGTGACTTTATTACCATGCGTAGGCGTACGTAACTTTGCAAGTAGATCAGCTTATCTTAGTATCAGCATTGTTATCGGGTAGCACTCTATTATAATATTATCTGGCAGTTTCATTCGCTTAGCATTTGGACAGTCCGCATTGATATGCCGTCTGCGTTTTGTCGGTAACATTACCGACAGTGACTACCGGGCCAATCGGCGATCGGCGTTCGGCGTTCGATTCACCGTCTAAGAATTTTAGCCATGCGAAGGACCCGCGGAGCGACAGCTTAAAAATTCGTAGTCGATACCACAAGATATCGGTTAACCCCCAAAAAATAGCAGATACAGTAGAGATAAGAGAATACATTTTTTTTAAAAATTTCAAAATTTCTCCAAAAAAAAAATTTCGAATTTTTCACCAGTCAAATTTTCGCGTGTGCTAATAATCAGAATTATTTGTTCCGTGATGAAAAAAAAAATTGCTTCGTACAAATTGCGTAAGTTTTGATCTCCTTATGCAAATCGCAGAAATTAATAGCAGCGTCGCGTAAAGAGGAGGGATCGAAGGGGGCAGATTAAAAAAAAAATCAATTATGAAATTTAACGTGGGCGCGACACACCGGGTACATTTCTTTAAAGATTACTACAGTCTATCCTGCTTGGTCCATGGTGTATGCTGTTGGCGGTATCGGGAGGGATTTTTATTTGTGCTATTTATTTGCACTTTAGCATGTGGATGCTACTGTGTATAGTATTACAGCTGTTCGGGCCATTCAATTCATTGTCATACTAATATAATAGACAACGTGACGAAAGAGCCAGCCAGCCTACCCAATTAGAAGCGGGAATAAGGTATTGAAATCCAGCTGCTACCAGCTGACGCTTTTTCACCAGCTGGACGAGTCTTGCAATTGCTAGCGGATACGTACTGTAGCTGCGAAAGAGTTCAATGGAATTTCCTAATTACTTCTTACTGGTCCGTCCAAAAGTTGACACGGCTTCTTGAATGCACTCAACCTCACACGTCAGCTGGGTTATCTGACGAAGGTCGTCTGCAACAAGAGGACGACCTTATAAATTGGACCTTGTCGACCCGGTTCGATCTCAGGTTGCTCGAAATGAGGACGCGCCCAGAAATCTGGCGCCAGACGATATCCTATACCTGTGGGTATCTTTGGTTACCGTAGAAATTGTACAGTGACTTCAAAGGTCACGTGATTATTAAATTATTATTATCAAACAATTATGACCTAGTGCCTAGAGAAATATTAAAAATCGTTTAATTGTACTTGAAAATTATTTTTTTTTTATATATGAAAAAATATTTTTTTTTCTAATTTTTTTCTATTTAATCTCATATTTAATCTTGACGTTTAGGTTCGTCTGCGATTTAATCATTATTGCAAAATCTCAACTTCTCTAATGTGTATTTAGGTCTATCACTGTATTCCCTAGTACACTGACCAATTCCAGCAACAAGATCCATAACGATCTTATACGAGATTGCTGATCTTTCTGTAGCATTGCTGACTGTACGGAGAACGCTGAGGTTATAGATCTAGGTTCAACTAGGATCCCGTGTACAGTGGATAAAAATACCATAGTCGCTAGATCATTATGATTTACAGTGAAGCAACGGATCACCAGCAATGACTCCGGTTCAGAAATAATAACCATAAAAATTTATCATTGCTTACGTAATATCTGCTTGACCGATAGAAATGGGAAGATTAAAAAATTATTATTCAGCAATAACCAGCAATTGCTGAAAAAAAAAATTGCTGAGCAAGAACGATCCAATTTGATCTCGCCTAATTGATCCACGACAAAAACAAAATATCAGTGACTTATAAATTTCATTTCAAAAAATTGCTGAAGATCATAATCCTGTATCATTTTCATTGTTCCTAGATCATTGAAACTCTAATATATATTATACAAGATTAATCAGCAATATCCAATTTTTTATATATCCAGAACGATCCCAATACTGTAAAGACTATCAGCAACGAATGATCCACCAATATGGTGCTACAGTCTGTTACAAAAACAATCCGAAAGTAAAAGTGACACTGGAAACAAGAAGAAGAAGGACGCAAAGACGTCTAAGATCTCGGTGTAAATCATAATGACTTGGCAGATCATTATAAAAATGATCGAATGATCCCACAGTAAGACCTATGACCTACCATTCGAATGCCTACCTGAGGTTGTCTGGTGCCGAAGCCTAAGGAGTGGTCCGGGAATAAAAATTCTTTATTAAATGTAACAGGCAGCCATACGGATTACGAAATCCAGTGATTTCGTAGTTGATCCACGAGGTCCAGTATTCAACCCTGACCCTTGGATCGCACGAGGATTAATCCCGAATAAAAAAAAAAAAATTTCAATATTCTCATATTAAAGCCACAGACACCTGTCACCACTTTGACAACTGTCAAACAAATTTTTTAAAAATAAAATCACACATGCTCACCAATCGAGTACGAAATCCAATGATGTTCTCATAACGTATAGTCACACCCAGTATATACATATATCGATCGACTATAGATTTTAATTCGTTCAAATATTCGTACCGTAATTACGCAAGCTGTTTTGACCAAATCCTTTCGAGCGGGAATTAATTCCCCCCACGGTTCATTAATATTAAAAATTAATTAACGTGCAGGGCCGTAACGTTCGCGTCACCCCGTTATATCCCCATGATCCAGGGGGACGTCAAAATATACGTATATACGAGATAGAACCAAATAAAAATGTCAAGGCAGAATTATTCAAGCACGTAACTCCTACAGCGTTAATCGATAACGATCAGATTCGCGTATCACAATAAACTTGATCCAGATGCATTTATTTAAAAAAAAAAAAAAAAAATTCAAAAATTCAAAAAAATAAAATTTTCAAATTTAATTTTTCTGTTCAAATTTCATTTTTTTTTTCAAATTTCATCGTTTCACGTATAAGCGTATATAAAGTTTATCGGCAAAGTGAACCGTCATACATTACGGTTCATCGATCCATAAATATGTATCGCATACGTATATCAACCGTAATTCACGTTGCTCGTATGACGCAACGTGAAACAATATTTAGCCGATGATGCAGCAATTCTTTTTTGTTTCAATCCTACATGTAACTACAGCATGTAAATAATGCGGATACGCGTAA